GCAGTGCCCCCCCCCCCCCCCCCCCACTACAAGAAGCATATATATAGCCAAAATTGAAATCTCTCTCCAATAAAATTCATACAAGGATCGTCTATTAGATAATATAGTTTGATTACTCCAAATGAAGCCACAAACTGAAAAATTCTACTTCAATTAACTTGGTCAAAGGGTTTTTGTTTTCGGTCATGCTAGTTGAATTCCTTGTAAGCCTTTCCTGCCACCTTTAGATGGTATTTCCTTACGTTAATGGTTTTTAGCATATGGAATCTGCTGTTTTGACAGCGTTTATTAAAATTGCAGACTTTACACCGGAATACATGCTCTCAAGCCAAAGCCAAAGTTCAAAACTGGCTCTATTTCTGGGTCTACCACTGACCTAAACATTGAGCAGAAATACACCGTGATCAAGAGTGTAGATCCCAAGAATGCAGTGTCAGGTGCCGCAGCCCAACTACCATCTCCATTGGCCCCAAAATCCGAAAATGGTCAAGATGTACCGGCAGCTTTAACTTCATCAACCGAGACTGGAGTTTCAGTGGCACAAAAGAAGGAAGTTGCTCTGGCAAAAGTTCAGACAGACAAAAAGAAGATGGATGCAAGAAAGAAAAGCTTGAAGAGATTATAAAACTCTCGTGGATCTTTTGGACATTTCCATTTATTCAAAATCGTGGATGTTGAGCGTCTTGAGAAAGTTTGACTTATTTCATCATGTTTGTGTGTTCCATGTTCCGACTCTTAGACCTTCGAGCATACTTTTCCTTCATGAAATTGTTTCACATCCTATAATCCTTTAATTTTTAGAGTTTTACAACAGCCACATAACTACAACGAGCAATGGAACAGGAAGAAGAAATGCTCACAACCAACTTCTGGATTATGACTAGAACCGCGTTCGACCTAGAATGACTTAAATTCACAGAAATTGAACACTTTTCAGTACCTACGTACTGAATCAGAGAAGTGCTCGGTTATCCTGACAGCCATTAGGTAAGAAAAAATTGCATCACGAATATTTAACCAGATAAAACTGAAGCAAGGGCTCTCAAATAAGGATGGATTACAAATTTAAACTGCTGCAGATTCGAGTGGCAAACATAACACAACGAAAAGCAATTCCAACAACATTACAGCAAACTATTTAATTCGTTTAACTTAAAACACCATAATAAAATGATGAAAAAGAAAACTAGCAACCCCTTACACTATTAATCATCTATTTTTCTTTTTTTCTTTTTTTGGATTTTTTTATATAATATTAATATTCAGAAGTCGTTCTAGATTTGGTTGAGGTGAGGACATCACTTGGCCATCATAATCTTCACAAACTCTTCATAATTGATTTGTCCATCGCCATCAACATCAGCCTCCCGAATCATCTCGTCTACTTCCTCATCAGTCAACTTCTCGCCGAGGTTTGTCATCACGTGGCGCAGCTCAGCAGCAGAGATGAAACCATTTTGATCCTTGTCAAAAACACGGAATGCCTCTTTCAATTCCTCCTCGGAGTCGGTGTCCTTCATTTTCCGCGCCATCAAGTTCAAAAACTCTGGGAAGTCAATGGTTCCATTACCATCAGCATCCACCTCATTAATCATGTCCTGAAGCTCAGCCTCAGTTGGATTCTGTCCCAGGGATCTCATCACAGTTCCGAGCTCCTTGGTAGTGATGCAACCTGCACATGAAGTTCATCCAACTAATCATCAAACATTCCCAAAAAGTAATGATCTCTTAATCAGGGTACATCTCAAAGCATAAAAAGGTTGGATTCATCAGTTCAGCTTGGGATAATGTCAAGTAGCTTGATTAAGAACACTATTTTCTCACACCTCTCTCTTCCCAATGTTGATCCACGATCACACGGACACTAGATATCAGTCCACAAGGGATTAGTGACTGTTGTAATTAGGCTTCCATATATAGTCCAGCAAGTACATCACAGATTCAATTTTGATGCTAGACAATACCTATGTATAATTTCCATAATGCGGTGAGTGAAAAGGTAAAACAAAATGCAGGCTCACATTGACCTATGGGAAGATGTAAGAAGGAAGCATACCATCCTCCACAATAAGATACAAGCAACTAATATAATAAAGTGAAATCTCAAAAATATGTATCAATAAGTACAAATTCAGTAGGGAACCATCATCCATGAGACGAGAAGATTCAAGCAACTAATATAACAAAGAAGACTTTGAAAAAATAATTTACAAGAATTATATAATTCTCATCACGCAAGCATAACTACATATTACCAACACACTAATTCATTTAGCATTTTTTGCCAGTCTAGGATAGTCAACAAAATATTCTTATCCTATGCTTCAAACCTTCATCACAGATGTATAAAATAAATTAATTTTCACATGCTCCATTTTTCATTCACTTTCCCTCCCTTGCATTCATAAATCAAAGTTTCCCCATTTTCCAACTATGATGTACTTTGATACAGTAATTCATATATGACATAAAAAGTTTCTTTAAAGTGCATTAAAAAAATTCCGCTGCAATCAATCAATGTAGTGCCACATGTCCTTTCTTCTTCCATAACATCAATAAATATAAGTACATTATTTTCTCAAATTTCTAAATCTTCAAAAAAAAAAAAAGCCTCACCATGAGAAAAAGACAATAAAGGAAAATAATTTATTTTCTCAAATAAACTTTTAGCAATTCTTCAATTTTCAAAAATCTGATAAATAAATCCTGGGCTCCATCCTTCCTAACATGGAATTTACAGTCTTTCCAATCCTGGTCAAATCCATGATCCAAACATATCGCACTCCCAAATCCCAAATTAAATGCCCTGGCTGGTTCTACTATCACAGAAACCAAAAAATGGTAATTTTCTGGGGTGTATTTTCCTACCCTAGATCAAATACAAGCATACAAATACTTCTTTGCAGCGGAATTAACTAACTGTAAACTAGATTAAGAAAATCCCTCGATTACCGCAGAAGTTGTATAAAATACGGAAGGCGGCTAGCAAAAGTCATACCAAATACAGAAGGCAGCTATATCTAATCCACTAATCATTATTTTCATATTTAAGCGACCTTAAATTTCACCCTTACCAAGCCACCATCTTATACAGTGGCTCAACACCAATCTTGAAACTCAAATCTAATCTTGAAATCGACTACTATCAAATTGGTAGGACGAGCTTAATAATCTTGACAACAAAAACTTGAAAAAAAAAAGAAAAAACAGCAGATCCGACACGAAAACAGAAACCCCATATCAAAAATCTAAATTTAAATGCATAAGTACATAGAAGCGCAAACATAAACACGTATACATATATGTACATACGAAAAGACATAAGAGAAGGGGGATCGAACCATCGCCATCTTTGTCAAACAGGCTGAAGGCCTCCTTGAACTCTGAGATCTGGTCATCCGTCAATTGATCCGCCATATCTCTTCTGCTTATATTTTCTTGATTTTTTGTGGGCTTCGATTTAAAGAAATGAGAGATTTTCTCTGCAGTCGGTTTGTGGGTTGAAACAAATGAAGTCAGCGTTATACCCATCAGTATGGAACATACAAATGGCGAATTAATTGTTCTAATAGTCACTTACTTAGTTCCATATCTTTAATTGTCACTGAAGTTTAAAATGTCAAGTTTTGATTACTGAACTTAGGCCATGTCTTCGATTCCTCACGGAAATTTAAAAAGTCGAGTTTTGATTACTAAACTTCAAAAAATATTGTACATTACTTATTGTAAACTAGAAATTTTTCAAATTTCAACATTTATGCTAATGAGTAATGTACAAAATTTTTCAATGTTCGGTGGTCAAAACTCGATATTTTAAACTTCAGTGTACAATCGAAGGCATGGATCTAAATTCAATAACCAAAACTCGAGATTTTAAACTTCGGTGACCAGTTAAATACATAAATATAAGTTTAGTGACCATTGAAACAATTAACTCTACAAATGGCAGATAAATATAGCAGAAAATGATAAAGTTCACTAATTATTTGATAATTACTTTGTTTTTGTTGTAATAAAATTTTGTTTTGATTTAGCGATGCGTCCGGACGTGACCGGTTTTATTTACTCTCTTGATCCGTCTTTCCTGCTTTGCCCCACCCCTTCCTCTAGTTATAATTTTGATGGTCGTCACTTTTACATTAGTATTTTTCGATTTTATTTTTTTATTTATATTCATGATTTTTTTTTTATAATTCTTTCTGCAACTGTTATTGAAATTAAGAGCCTATTTGAGAGTGATTTTAAAAATTGATTTTTTGATTGTTAGGGGAAAATTAGGGTCCACCTATGAAAGAAAAAGTCAAATATGACTATTGGAATAATGAAATAACGATCAAAAAATCAATTTTTTGAGGGAAAAAATCACTCCCGAACATGCTCTAACTGAATTTGTGATTTGATTGACTATCGTAAATAAAATAAAGTTCAATAAATTTATCTTTTTTTTTTTGTATTCGAAGTTTATAGCTGTGTCACTGAACTTCACAAACCTCATTAATTTCGTCTTTCAAGACAAATTGAGCATGTTCGATTTTCAGTAAAGTCAACATTACACTCAATTCCAATTTTCTTGTGTATAACCAAAAATACTAAGTCCCAGTTGAAGAATGTGCGGTTGAAAATAGAAGAAAATTTTTCGATTTATGCGTAATATTATTTTATGAACGATTGTGTGATTGAAAATAAAAGGAAAAAATGAAAAAGAGAGGGGCCAAATAGGAGCTAAATTATAAAAAGGAAGTGCTACATTTACATAATTATCTACATAATGGTGTCTATAATTACACGTGACATTAGATCCAACCTTTAATTTAAATATTACAATTGCTCATCAACAATCAGATGATTGCCACATCACATTATGGACACCATTATGTACAATAATTATGTATTAGTAGAATTTTCCATTATAAAAATATTCAATTGTCATGTTAGTAAGTTAGACAAGACAAATGAAAACTACCGATTCTATTTCTATAATTAGGGTGAGTATTGATTTTAAAACGGTGTTTCAGTGATATTACTTGGACGACTATGGTAATAAATAACATTACTCTTTTTCCTACATATATAAAAGAACAAAAGTATTGGCGGGACATGTGTCGCAAATTTGTATCGTCCTATAACACTTTTTTTTTTTAAATATTATGTTGGGCCATTGGAAGGAAGCATGGGGCAGTCAAATTTCTCTATTTTCACTCAATCTACCATTCCTCTATTACTCTTCTTCTTCATCTTTTTTTTCTTCCTTCCTTCTTCTTTCCAAAACTCAAAAAAAAAAAAAAAAAAAAAAAAAATTGAAATCTCGAATTTGAGTTGCAGTACATTTGACGGGGTTCATATGTGTTCCTTGTAAGTGAAAATTTTCTTTACTTGTGATTTGTTTCTCGCGTTAGAGTTCATTTTGTTTCATTATTTACTCATTTGTGGTGTTAATGATAAGCAGTATAGCCTATGTAACTTTAAAGACCAAAATGATCAGATATTATCAATGTTAGTTGTTTTTTCTTTTCTTTTCTTTTTTTAATTATAATGATTTTAAAAATTTTGGTCCTCTTTGGTTAACTTATATCTGAGTTGGAGTACAACAGATGGGGTTCATCTGTGCTCCTTGTAAGTGATAAATTTCTTTTCTTATAATTTGATTCTCACGTTAGAATTCATTTTGTTTCATTGTTTATTCATTTACAGTGTTAATGATAAATAGAATTACTTAGGTAACTATAAAAATCAAAATGGTCAGATATTAGAATTACCCGGGTAACCATAAAGACCAAAATGGTCAGATATTATTAATGTTGGAGCCCTCTACGAAGACTTTCTCTGTGCATAATGGAGACTTTAGTTCCGTGAGAAATTTTCTCCATTCAGGATGAAGAAAATGGAGAATATCTCTTTTCTCAATCCTAGAGGGGGAGATCTCTCCATCCTGGAGCCAACACGGAGCTCCTGCTCTGCCCAATGTGCTTAGTGGAGCTTTGCTCCGTGCAATTTGCACTTTCATGATACGAGTCAAGTTCATCATTTTAATATCTTTCAATACCTTTGTTGGTTTTGTATATATCTGTCTAAAATCAGTCAACTTTATCAATACTTGTTTGTCAATTCAAATCAAACTAAATTATTAAATCCTCCAAAATTCCATCAATTCACCGAAAAAATAAAATTAAATCAATTTTCTCCATCCTGGATATGGAGAAAAACTCTCTATCTAAAGCAAATTAAACAAAAGAAAGTTAAATAAAGAATATGTAAATGTTATTTGATTAAAATTAAAAAAATCAAATTTTATCATAAAGAAAAAATAATTAAAAAAATTTTAAATCGAAATTTTTTTTGATAACATGAACAAAATAAATTAAGAAAAGGAAAAATAAAATAAATGAGGAAAAAATAAAAAATGAAAAATAAAATCTCCCATTTCTCTCCATCCCATGAAGAAAATCTTGACGGAGAGGATGGAGAGTTTTTCCATTCAGTAAATGACTCTCCATTGGATTTTCTCCATCCTAGATGGAGGGGCTGGAAAGAAATCAGAAATTTTATTCTTCGTTTTTGTTTTTTTTTTCCTCACTTATTTTTCTTTTTTTTTTAAATTTATTTTGTTCAGGTTACAAATAATTTTTTTCCGATTTAAAATTCTTTAAAATTGTTTTTTCTTTATGATAAAACTTAAATTTTCAATTTTAATTAAATAATGCTTATATATTATTTATTTATTTTTCTTAAATTTCTTTTGTTTTTATTATATTTTTTTTTGAGAATTGCTTTAATTTTTTTTTCATATTCTAAATAAATTTTTTTTTTTGATTTACAGTTCTTGTTAATTCTTTTCGTTTTATGATAAAACATAATTTTTTCAGTTTTGATTAAAAATAATAATATTTTTATTTTAATTAATTGAATTTAATTTAAAAACTTCATAATAATTTTTTTTTTCTATTTTTGTTTGCAATTCTTTTTTCTGTTCTTTAACTTGTTAAATCATTTAATTTCTTTTTTTTATTAGTATTGGATTGGATGAAGTGAAGTGATGTGCAAAAATGGAGAAATATTACAGTGGAGGTGATGATTGTAGTGAAGTGGGATGTGAAAATAGAGAAATGATTAAAGACAACACGACGTCATTTTGGTTCTCACGATGAAAAAAATTTTAAAATTCTTTTTAATTCTTTTCGCTTTATAATAAAATTTAATTTTTTCAATTTTAATTAAATAATATTTATATATTCTTTATTTACTTTTCGTAACTTTTTTTTGTTTTTATTTTATATTTTTTGAAAATTATTTTAAAATTTCTTTTTTTCTTCATATTATAAATAATTTTTTATTTGATTTAATTTTTTTTAAATCTTTTCGTTTTATGAGAGAACATATATTTTTTTAAATTTTAATTAAATAATATTAGGATTTAATTAAGTCCAACAACAACAAAATCAAGTTCTTGGAAGAAAATTGATACATGAAATTGCATTTAACATTTTAAGCTATACTTTATAATTTTGCATGGTGCCATCAACGTGAAAAATCATTTTTAATGCAATAATGTAGATAGTGTTATGTTGTATATCTTGGTGATATTTAATTATTATAACCATAGTATGGATTAGAGGCAAAACTTGAGTTGGCTTAATTATATTTTAGGCTGAACTAATATATATAGATATATATATTCCGTAGAAAAAAAAAATTCCACAAACTTCTATACTGTGAAATGCCTGGTATAAATATATGCAAATTCTCAAATGTTCATACGAAGAATAAAAAATATACAGAAAAAATCGACGAAAAATAAGTCAATTTTAACGAATTTATGAATACATTTCAAAATTATAAATAATTTTTTAAAAATTTTTTCATACACTTAGAGTGTGTTTGATTACATTTATTTTCCATAGAAAATATCAGTTTTCCATCCGAATTTTCACTTTGAGTGTTTGATTGCTATTTTTTTCCATGGAAAACATTTTCCAACTTTTGAAAATATGCCTAATTTTCCTTGTTTTTAAGGAAAATATTTTCCTTGGGTAGAGGTGATTTTTATTTTTCACAAAAGATGGAAAATATTTTCTTTTCTTGGTAATATTTTTCATATCAATCAAACACACCCTTAGTTTAAAGATTAACCACATAGAACATTAACCAATTATGTGCGTTCACACACTAGTACTAATAATAACCGTTGAGTATACACTAATTTGCACGAGGGACTGTTATATATTCTAGAAAGTTCACAGTATTTCTCCAATGTCTCCATATTTTGGCTCAAACTCATATCCACCTAATTCCTTTCCTCACCATCTCATCCATTAATTCTGTAAGATGGCCGCCACCACGCTAAACCCAACACACACAGCGTTCCTCAGCACCGCCTCTGACAATTCGGCTTTCAAACCCCATAGCAATTTATCCTGCGTTAGCCAAAAATGCCTTTTAAAGCAATTTCGTAGTTTCCGATGTACTAATAGTAGTAGGAGTAATGCTAATTTTCCTTACAATTTGGGTAAGAAATTTCTGCTATCGGCTTCAAATGGAGATCCTGCAGACACCCAAACCGAGACACAAGAAGAAGATTCGGTTCAAGAATCCGAACCTGAATTTGAGGTATTATATCATATGTTCTAGTTTCTCGAGTAATTTTAGTGGCCTTTTCATTTCTCATTTAGAAAACTGATCCTTTAATCCTTTTATTGGATAGTAAGTAGATACTTAATTATAGTTTGTGGACTTTTAAGTGTTTTTTTTTTTTTTTTTTTTTTTTTTGAGCAATCTGTATTATTATCAATGAATCGATAATAAAAATGTATTCATCTTGGTATGAAATTGGCTGGCTGCTTGTGCACTAGATGGGAAGTGTGTGGGGGTTGGGGCAGTTAATACATGAATGCTCATTAAGCTTTGGCCTAAGTTATTACTTATTGAACAATAATCCATCGTTTACTTATGTATTCAAACTGTCTGCCATCCATCATTGCATTGAAATCTGTTACTCCCACTTGACAGAAATGTCCATATGTCCAACAGTAATCTTGGCACTTTTGCCTTGTTAACTACGGCCTCCTAGGATTAAAATGCATCAAATGGTGGTCGTTAAACTTTCCCCTTGTTATTACTTACCCACTAAACTAAAAAGGGAAACATCGAATTGAAATTAATCTTTTTTATGTTTTTCCTTCGTGTAAAAACTAATATTCCCAAATCCAAACACAATCATCTAAAAGAAAATCCACAATTCTAGCCCTTGCCCTAAGCCAATTTTTTATCTTGGTAATGGATATTTCGTCGGAGACATCCCAAATTATGAAGGAGCTATATGTCGTTGTTGGGAATTGTTTGTTATGAAGACTTCGTGGACCCTTAAAAATCAAGGAAGAAGGTGTCATGGACTCGGATATTATGGTCGGCCAGATGCATATGACTACTCTGCTCGGGTGAATCTACCTCCATGTTCATGGTACAAGTCACTAATTAATGGGGTTGTGCACAAGGCAAATGTGATGGAAAAACGTGTTCCACTCAGACATGCAAATGTACACTTTAATTTGATGAGTTTTAATCATGGGTGATTGTAGTTAACAAGATAAATGTGATTCGTAAGAATTCCGTTGGTGACATGGACATTTGCAAGTGGGAGTAATGGATTTCAAACAAGTGATCGTCGGGTAATTGTTTGAGAAATGTAAATTATTTGCATCAATATAAATCGTTTTAATGAATAGATTATGGAGAATTTAGATAATTTAAACGCATGGCTTAAGAAATTTAATATTTACATACTCTATTTGCATCATTTAATGAATTTGGGCACTTAATTAAAGGATCTGGACCGCGCCCACCCCTATGTGTACATCTCATCTTTCATCAGTTATGGAGTGGGCTAATTAAGTTGCATTTTGAAGTGGACATTTGAAATATGCCAGGGGATGATCTTGGTGGAATCTGGTTGAAATGGATAACTTAAATACACGGGCCTTAGACAAGTGCGTGTTTGGCTAAGCCTAAGAAAGAAGCAAACTTACTGTTATAAAAAGAAACCATTTATACCAAAATTCTAAAAAAGAGCAACTTGAAGAAAAGCTAAACATGTGTGGGAAAGATAAGTACAAGTAACTTTTAGAGCTTAAAAAATCTTGGCTGAGCATAGAAGTTACTTTTATTTAGGCTTATGCAAACACCTTCTAAATTGTCTGGCTGAGCATAGTTTCATGCATGCTCAGTTTACATGATTCTACTGTTAATGTTATTGGAAAATATTTGATGGGGAACATGTCATGTTATTGTATACTAGGAATTGACGTCGTGAATTTTTGTTTGGAGTATCTATTATTTCCCCTATATCCATCATCATCAATTAATATTAGGTGGGTAATGCTTCTCTAAAGTAGATGTTGCTTGTTAAGCTTTTGCTTTATGTGATACGTGGTTTGTTTCCCTAAGACCGAAAGATGAATGGGAGGAGGGTGTCTGAGCTACCTCTGAGGCTAGTTTGAAGAAGATGAATTATGAATATCTATTTAGTAAATTTTTATGTTGTTCTTACAATGGTAATGTTTTCAAACCTTAATTTGAATTGTTTCCAAGATACATCCATGATGTTTTGTCAATTTCTTAATCCTATGTAACATTAAAATTATAGAGGATGGGAAAGGTAACTGGTCGTTTTTCATAAATAACTGTAATATGAAAACTTAATGACGCCGAATACAATAGAAGAATTATAGGAGAAGGGGAAAGGGAAGAGAAGAGGAGAAAGGAGGGAGAAATAGAAGAAGAGAGGGAGAGGATGAGAGAAAGTTGGGAAGAAATCAATTTATTTCATTCATTCAAAAGTTGTTCCAATTACATTGCATAGATCCCTTTATATAGGGTTTAAACTCATGATAATTAAAGTAGGAAAATACTCTAAATAAATGACTGATTATGTTTCCTAAAATACGCATTAAAATTGGAAATTAAATATAATAATATCTCTTCTAATATTGCATCACTTAAAAAATAGTGGAGATAATGGAAAGTATATTCATATACATGATTGGAAGAAAAAAATAGTGCGTATTTATACACATTATTCCCTTTTCTATCTTATTCAGACTGAGGCATCAGTGCTCTGTAACAGGTTAACTAAAAGGCCTTTAGCCGTTTAGTGTCTTACTAACTGTTTTTGCCACTTCAGGCCAAGACAAGCATTGGACCTCGTCCCTAACCCCATACCAAACTTGAACACAATAGTGGTCATGTTTCAACCTAAAGAAAGTGTTTAATCGTTCATTTCATTCATCATGTGATTTTAACTAATTTTCTGTGGACGTGTTACAACTAATTTTGGAATCTTATTTAAAATTCCTGTTTTTATTTTACGTAGCTATTCTGATTAGAACTGTTGTTAGATAGAGGGAAGAAATATTAAAGTACACTGCTGATGCTTTTTTCTAAAATGGACAGGAAAATAGCTGCTTCCTGTGATATCAATTAACAAAATAACACTTTGTGTGAAAGAGTAAGGCTTGTTATTCTAAATATTATTGGACTCTTATAATGGTCCTCCTGGTGGATCCATAACTTCCATGGTTGAAAACCATGCTTCATATGATGGTTCATTGTATCTGAAAGAGGGCTCCTAGAATAGTGATACCAGATTGCGGAAAATTTGCTGTCAGCTGTCAAGATTTCCAGGATTTGTAGCTATAAATCTCATAATTTCCATATAAATTATGTTTCCTCTCATTCCCCCCCCCCCCCCCCCCCCCCCCCCCCCCCC